GTATTCTTGGACTCCATTCTAAGCAGCACAGCAGTGTGTATCTCCTTCTCCGTGCTCTTAGCAAGAACTGAAAAATGGAATTCCGCATCTAAAAGCTTGGACTTCATGACTTAAGGATTTTAGCAGAAAAATACAAAAGTATACAAAATATTTGGGCTAACTTGCATACAGAACAGTCATTTTTAGCAGTGTGCTCTGCTTAAGTGAGGTACGGTTCCAAGCAAATAAGCATTTCCTTCCTCAGAGGCACATCATAAAGCACATGAACACACTAGAAGTTATGACTTTATTAAAGTCATTTTTATGAGGTCTTCTATATATGGCCTCACTCGTAAAAATGTATTGTGAAAATATGTGATACACTCCAAAAGAAGGTATAATAAAGTAGAGATTATAGTTGGGAACAAAAATCTGTACCTAATTGTACCTTACATATTTGATCTTTCACAAACATCTTATTAATCCATGAAATCCTCCAGCACAGTTTCCAAACTCTAGGTAATGAGGGATACGCAGTGTGCAGAAATACTAAGAAGAGTGAGACTGTTTAAAGGATAACTATCGGCCTCTACTTACAGCCCAGTGCTGTTTCCCCTTGTGTCCTAGGTATTCTACCAACAAGTCTCATCAATTAAAACACAGCTAACATTGTGAATGCATGACTCATACATAACAGTGCTTAATTATGCTTAACCAGCCTGCAAAATACAGCTAGAAGGATCAACATCAGGAGAGTAACAGAGCTGGAGTTCACTGATATTTGGGAAGGCAAGGCTCTTAACTTTTATGATTCTGAAATTTTTCTCACCTTTGATTTTCTTCACTCCAGTACTTTTCTCGCATCTATTTGTTGAACTATTGCAACTTAGGCTTCACGTCCAGAGCACCAAACTATGCGACAATCTGATATGCTACTATTAGTACATTACATAGCTGATTAGTATATTACGGATGAGCAACACGCATAGGAAAAATAGCTGGCTAACACACTGGTTATTTTCAAACACATATTTTCAAGGAATTCCGTGGCAAACTCCACAGTGACAAAAACAGAGTACAGGTATGATGCCATGCAGTCTTTTCACAGGACTACCATCCACTGTTCACTGCTGGAGGTAATGAAAAGCAGACAAGAACAGTGTTGCATGACTTCAGAAAAACTGTGTCTATTGGCAGTAATAACAAGACCTAGTAATAATGTATTCTTATTCAAGACATTCCAAAAATGCCACTCAAAAATAATATACTCAAATCCCTAAAAATTCAGCGGTGTCAAATCACTTTCTCCATAGTATGTCTCTAAATAATCCGATATTCTGCAGCTAAAGCTTCAGAAAAATCACAAGCAAATAAGTTTTAACTGGCACACTTCCACAAAAAAATAGTGAGAACAACAACAAAATGTCAAAAGTCAGCAGCAACTAGTGCAACTGTTATTTCTAAAATAAGGACCAACAATACACTGCGAAGATGTACTCTGATTACTGAACCCAAAGATTACATTGTACTTCAGACAAAACAATCTTTTGTTTTCCCAGAGCACAGAGCAATGACCTACTCTGACTTGCCCAGCTTGATTTCCTGCATTGATTTCTTTCGGGTCAGCCTCAATATCAGACTTAATGTAGCTTTACCCTCAGGCTCTAAGTCCTTCGGACGCAGAGTTTCACAAGTCTCTGCTAAGTCTCTGCTACAGAACTCTTGACAGCTGAGGTGCCTAACAAAATATTTTAAAATAGGAATTTCATCTTACGTTCCCTAAAGCAGCATCTAACAGAATAAAGAGACTAAAGAATATTTGTTCCTAGAAAGACCTATGTAGTATGGTTGCTATTGGATTCAATATATCTCAAAGTTATGGCCATATGTTTAATGCTTCTTTTCAGTAATGACACTTTATTAGTTATTTGGCACAGTCATATATGAATTATTTCTTTAGTGATGTTTAAAACCGCTTTAGCAAGACTCTGAAATGCTCATGGCGATATTTCCTGGCCATTAAGTTTTGACATATTATTTACCCTTCTTAAAAAAAAAAAAAAAAAAAGCTTTCAGTCAGATCACTCAATATACACCTTTTTTTTTTTTCACGTGCCAAGATTAATAAAAACATTGATTCCTAAGTAATCCTTGTCTTCAGCATCCTACTAAGTGATAGTATTCTGGGGACTGCAGCAGCCAGCTTACAACATAAAATTTTCTCAGTTGGGTCCAACTCACAGTTCTACAAATTCAGATATTAACAAAACAGAGCTGTGTGCAAATAACATTAGAAAATGTTCTCAGTCAACACTGCCCATCTGCTCCAGGATCGACACAGAAAATTCCTGTGCTTTCAATTTGCATCTTTGTTAAAGCTGAATATCCCAGAAGTCAATTGCCTAGCTTTTTCCTTTCCATTTATCTCTTTCTGCAAGAAGTCCAACCAGTTCCCAGCCCTCTCTGTGTCAATTACCCTGAACATATTAAAGCTACACACCTTCTGGTTTTCTTCTGACGAGCCAGGCTTTGTGACGGACAGAGCTCTCTTTCTCTTAGGTGGAACAATATTGCAAATGCAAAACCTGACCGTGGGAGGGTGAGATAGAGTGACAAATAGGTGAAATTACTGTCCTGAACTTCTGCATTAATCATCAAGCCAGCTCCTTTCCCCAGGAGCCAAGAGATTAGGAAGTGCATCGTTACTGATCCATAAAGCCACAAAGCTTCTTTGTCATAAGATATTCCTCATGCCTCAAGCACTCATTTCCTCTGCCCTGACTGCTTATTTATGATCTGGCTTGTAGACAAACCCTAGCTGGACTTCAAAATAAATATGAGCTCTGTCACCAATGCTCTCAACCCTGGGTATTAACATTTCTGCCTTGTTGTGTATAGGCATTTACAAGCCTATCTCACTTTAGGAAGATACTATAAATGCTAAGATAGTTGAAAGATTGTACTTGGTATTAATCTTGACCAAAATAGTAATGTTGCATTATGTTTTAGTGTTATATCTTTTAATAAAGACACATGCAGAAAACACAGTCACAGAATCACAGAGTGGTTGGGGTTGGCAGGGACCTCTATAGATCATCTAGTCCAACCCCCCTGCTCCAGCAGGGACACCCAGAGCACGTGGCACAGGGTGGCATCCAGGCGGGTTTGGAAGATCTCCAGAGAAGGAGACTCCACAGCCTCTCTGGGCAGCCTGTTCCAGGCTCTGTCACCCTCACAGTAACAGAGAATTCCACATCCACTCATTCCATCTCTTGACAGATCAAAACAGCACAGGATTCCTTTACAATGAAAGTATTCCTGAACAGTAGTTTAGGAAGGAACTCCCAAAGTGTACAGAGCAAGGTGATTTCAGGGATGGGATCCAAGCCAGATGAACATAGCTAACTATGCATACACACATGCAAGTACCTTAGTATAGCCTTCTCCAATGCAATTGCTATTTTCAGGTAGGTAGGAAGGGTTACAACTTTCGAAAGGGCTCAGAAGGACAAAATTGCAAGTTGCCTGCATACTGTATCTATGCTTAATGCATTCAGCATAGGTATAGTATGCAGGTAACTTGCATGCTATTTCACTTTTTTTTTAATTAAAAAAAAAGTTTTAGAAGTTGTAAACCTGGAAAATTCAGCATTGATTATTTAAAGACAGTTATCATAAAAAACTAAACATACGTCACTTGTCTTCCCTCTTACAATTTTAAATTATAATTACAAAACCCTATAGAAATTGGCTTGTAACTGATCTATGTACAGTTGCTTTTGAAGTTTTGAGGTTTCCTTATTCTTCCTACAGTAGGTCTTTAACATTCTAAGATCACTTGAAATAGACTGTCAAACATAAAATTATTATATGTTAATGTACAGTGTATATATAACATAAATGAATATATGCATGTATATGCATATATATATATAAGTATAATTTCAACTCAAACCCACTGACCAGAAATATTTATTGTAAAACATGAAATGCTAGGGGAGATACAGTTAGAATTGTAGGTTCATGACAAGGTGTAGTACAGTTTAGGAAAAGTATGGCTTTTGGTGTATTTTATTAGTTATCATATTTCATGCACACTTAATAAGAGACTTGACTCACAAACACAGAAACAATGTTTGTGGAAAACAAGGTTTACATGGTTGCATTTCATTACTTCAAGAGGTGCTCAAGGAACTCCACTACTGACTAATTTGATTTTTGCAGAAGCACGTAATTTGTATGTATTAAGAATAATACAGCAAATGCAGTTGAGAGGTAAATTATAAAACCATATTCCAATACTGACCAGTTTCATTTGTGGACTAGTGTTTGACAATAGTGCCTACTCACATGAGGAAACTGCTAGCCCCAGTTCACCCATTATACCATGTTGCCACAACTGTTTGAGGAGCTGCACTCACAAGCAAATACTTCGCTTTTATTCCTCACCATAATTCAGCCAGTTCAGTTCCCTGACTCAGTATGTCATACGTCCAGCTGTGCTACCACACTGCAAGGGCAGACAAAACAGTGGAAGTGCTTCCACCATGGCAAGTGCTCACAGAATTGATGTCTCAACAGAAGTCAACATTTTAAAGGCTTTTACAAAAAGTAAACAGTTCACTGCTTTCAATTTGGTCACTCAGACTGCCTCACCACTAGCCAGATTTCGCAAAGAAATCCTACGACAGCATTCAAGAAGATCAAGTAGGACAGCTTCAGATACAACACCTTCCATTTGAGTAAGTGAATAACACAAATTTCTTCAAATGAATGTAAGTTTCTATATTTACGTACTTTTGGAAGTAAATATTTATCGCCTTAGTGCATATCATTCCATAGTTCAAATATGGATTGAAATTATCACTAGAAAGAAAAATGTGCTCTCACTAGCCCAGCGTACATCAGGAAGTGTCACGAGAACTGCTGTTGAGCAGCAAGCCTCAGAATGTTTCTGGCAGAGTTGGGAACAACAGATATTATAATTGCATATTCCACTAGTGAAACTTCCTTACACTTTGCTCCCATGTTTTAAGAACAAGTATCAAAACTGCTTAAGACATGACAGAACACATATTAATACAATAACATTCTTAGGAAAGTTTTAGTTCAATAAAAACAGTTTTATTACTATTTCTTTGTATTTCATTTTTTGTTCAGCTAACCAAGCCTTTTTTAATTCTACAAAAATGTTTGCTACAGGATCAAAAACATATATATTTTTCCATACCATTAGTTTCGGCAAACTTCTGAACATCGGCCAAAGTTTTCAGCTCTTTCCTTGGGCAGGCTGACACACACAAAGCAAGAGATTTGATCTTCTGATGTACTAAATCAACATTGCATGGATCCAGAAAGAACACATACCTAGAGAAGAAAAACAAGTGAGTTTTTCATTTCAATGTACAGTCATGTATTCATGAATTCAACATAAAAACTACAAAGATACTGCTATTTATAGATGTTTGGATATTTTACCAGTCTGCTGATAACTTTTCAAGTTGCTCAAATGCTACTTTTTATGAAATAGTAGCACTTCATAGATGCAGGTTTTAACATTTAAATATTAGGTTTCACTCCAACCATAAACTTAGCTTCAAGATTCCAACGTTTTTTCCAAAAAAAAAAAGACACAACATAAAAACCTACAAGTTTACATTTGCATTGTAAAAAGGAAATGAGAAAAGTCTTTTTTTGTTTGTTTTGAACACTGATTTTTCATATCACTGTCCAATATTATCCAACAGATCATACTGGTATTTATTTTGAAATAAAAGTTGTGTATTTTGGATAGGACTATCTACTGTGATTGTGCAAAGTTTTTAAAAGATTTTATTTGACACATTTTCATGATGTTCACTGTCATAAAAAGAATTATGAGACATTATGAGACATTATAACCTCACAGAAAACAAGTATGTGTAGCTATAAACATCTCATCGCAAACACTAGCTACGGTATTTTCCATTCATGATAAAATACAGATAGGGAACCTTGTATTTTCTGAAAGCTAAGAAAAATTCGTATTTTTGTGGTAGGTTGTGCATTGAAATATTCTCTTCATATTACGTAACATCATGATGGGAAAACAGAACAGTCATTTATTCGTGGATCAAATAAAATGGTATTTTTGTTATTTTAATAATCCTCATGGCATAAATTTATTCCATAATCAATAAAAATGCTTTTTGATCCTAGAAAACTTATTTCAAGTTACAATATAATTACACAACATTAAGTATACCAACAGAAATATTTGCAGTCATTGCAACTCTTAGATTTTATTGCTAGAAGAGCAATAAAAATAAAATATAGTATTCCAAGAGATTCATGCTTTATTTAGCTCCTTATAGTGAAACTTTCAGGAAGAATCTCCTGCTATGACAAAAAGTGTAATAAGGAAACAAAAGCAATACCCCCAAATGTTTAATACCGCACACTTTAGAGATAACATCTTTAAGGCCACATTTATAATGGTACTCTACAGAGAATGTAAGAATGTCAAACCATAAATCTATTTTAAACTACCAGAACAAACCTTGCTCAAAAATCATGGTACATACACTAGGAAAGATCACATATATCGCTCAGCTTGGCCCCATACATGAAGGTTAGCAATTACCTTTTGCCAATACATTTTCAGCCTATGTGGTTATTAGTCTAATCTGCCCCTACAGAAAGACTATTATCCAGTCTCAGTCTTCAAGAATTATTACTATTTAGCACAGTTACTCATTTTTTATCCTCCAAGCTATCTTACTTCCTCCAGCCCTTGTAGGTGATCAGCTCCCACCAACTCCGCACCCCGTGCCATCTAGATTAACTGCAATACAGTAACAAATAGAAGTAACATTCATAAAAATTTTTCCTATTGAGGAAATACTGCCAATATCTTTAGGAAGGTTATCCTGTACTATTTTTTTATTTAATAAGTAATACTAAACACCAGAGTACTCTGCAAACAATACAAATCCAGCAAGCAAACATAAAATGAAGATGATTATCCTTCAGACATAGTCGAGGTAACCATGTTAGGAACATGCCATTGATTCCACATTTTTCCCTTTACTTCAAATAAGATACCTTTGTGTTGATACTAACCTATCCAATACAATACTAGTGATGACCAGACAGTTTTGTTATTGTTTTCTCTCTGTGAAAGCAAATTCACACAAACATGACTTCGTATTATAGACAGAAGTCTAGGGAAACCTATGTAGGATTTGACCGTAACAAGCTAGACGTCAAAACATCCTCTAAATCATGGCATGATGGAAATTACTTGAGGTAAAAATAACTGCATGCAATTTTGAATATGTCAATTTTCCCTAGCCATAATAAATACCTGAAATGCTAAGCTTACATTTAATTTCAAGCCAATTCCTAAACTTAAATGGAAAGGAGGAAAGAGTTTAATTTTCCCCAAGTCAGCATATCAGAGAATAAGGTTAGCAGCAAGTTACCCATCCTAAGGCATGTAATTCAAAATTGACTTTTCAAAATGCATTGTAAGAAATTTATTTTTAAAAAGGAATGGTAGGAGCCTCCTTACATTTAACTATTGTTTCAAGTTTATATTTCACAATGTTACTTTAAAAAAGAAAATCTTAAAGAAAAAAGAAAAAAAAACACATTTCCACAGAATTAAAAATACAATTTTAATACAACCAGAGGTTAAAAAAAGAAAAAAACAGTTACTACTTTCGACTAGTAGCTTATTGAACAAGCTATTGCCCATGAGATATACCCCTGCAAGAAGAAGAAGACAAAGTTTTTTTTTCTCCTCCAGATATGCTTGATTCTAGAAACATGAACACTAAATTTAAGCAATTATGGCAATCTACTATATGTACAAGCCTATCTTGTCTTCAACTATTCTGTAAATTCTTGTATTTGCCAAAGTAATCGATTTTCTGTCAGCCCTCAAGGCATTTCTTCATAGTCAGATGAGCGCAGATGAGCAGAACAATCGTTCACTGTGATCTGAAGTCATCGTGTTGCAATAATGGAGAAGTGAATTTAATGATCATCCAGTCTATACCAATTATGTGTTGGGCATACAGAGATTGACTCATCCAGCTTCTTTGCATGAATGCTGTAAACTCATCCTGAGTTTTCCTAGTACCTGAAATCAAGTCTCCTGAGTAATAAGATTATTAGGACTGAATCCCACTCTAACCATACTCTGTAGTGGTATGTGCATGCCTTTCTGTACTTGAAGAAGCAGCACAGAATGACTTTTGTCCAAGTAACAAAATACTACCGATCAAAATTCAGACTGAACTGTCATTCATGAACTTGTATGTGTCTGCTGCTGTTGTTTTCATTTGCAAAGTACTCCAACATGTCAAAGGCCATTTTTAACCCCTTGTACTGCCAAAACTTCAAAAGCAAACTGTTGACGAGATCAAGTTCTAAAAAACTCCTCCCCAACTCCCACCTCCAGTATACGCATGAGATCATGCCACTTGCTCCTCACCTTCCCACCCAGATTTCCCACATCTACAAAGATCATGCTAATTTCACTTCCTTCTTGTTATAGATGACTTAATTTTATGCCTTGGCCTGCAAAATTAGTTATCCTGGAAGCAGAACAAAACAAAAATAACTTCAGGTTTCTAGAAATGCATTTTTTAGAGGATAAGACTTCCTTTTTTTTCTACAAGATCTGAAACAATGGCAGTAAGAATGATTAATTTTTTTTCAAGCTGCCTATAAAAGCACTCTTATAAAGCATGAAATAGGGAGGATCACATGCTTTACCTAAGAAATGTTCTGTATCAAAGCTGGATGCCCTGGACTGTCGCAGACACTTCACTGTGAACACTTATACAAAATAAACTGCCTTCACAGAAGGTAGCTCTCTTGCTCTCAGCCCAATAGAAGAGCATATCCATTTATTCGTTCAAATCATGTCTCAAGGTATCTTTATCAGAAAAATACAATCCCGTGAAAGATTCCAAAGACTCTGGCTGAACAGTATCTTCTGGCAAGAAGTTCTATGTTAAGTGTTAAAGACATTCTCAATTTCTGTTTGCTGTGGCATACCAATCACGCCCTTACAAAGTGATCATACTTAGCAATCCTTCGTATATCCTCATGATAGCCTGAATTTGGTCACATGGATACTCTGGGGTTTAAAGGAACCACTGTCACACTACTAGACTAACTGTCTGAATGAGGTGCCCTGAGTTTCTTGGTTACTTATTGGAATCCTTCATCTCCACATACACAAATCAGGAAACATTTTTTCCTAAAGGTAAGGAGGTTTCAAACAGTAATTTTTAAGTTTGCATTTTCTCTCACAGCATAATTTTGTATTGAGTATAGTTGATTTTCAAAAGAATAAAAAATATTAGCATAGAAAAACAGGCATGTCCCCTGCAAAAGTTTTAAACCTTTTGATTCTTATGGAGGTTACAATGAGCTAAAGAAAGGATTCTTTTCCCAGAAGAAATTTGTAAAAGTTTCTGGGTTTTTTTATGTCATTCAAATTCTTCTGATAATATACCACTTACCTGGTCACATTAAATCTTACTTCAGAATATTCAGAATACTTCAGATACTTCAGAAAATTCTATAACAGCAGCTCAAAATAAACAGATTTTAGACAGCCGTCTTTCCAAGTAATCTGCACGTATTAAGAATACTTCATATCTGCTATTATGAAGTAAAAGAGCATGACCCTCAGGAGTTAGAATTTTAAGTTAAAACTTAATTGCTTTACAGTTAAAATAACGGAATGGTGAAAGACACACCCTTTTTTTTTAATTAAATTAATACTCCGTGCTATTCTAAGGTTACAGATTAATTAGTTCACTTTCTAAAGACATCGAAATTGTACACATGTACATTGACTGGTAGGTTGAATTTCAGACCTTCGCTAGGTTTTCAATCCTTGAATCCAAAATTCTTGTTACTCAGCTCCATCCTAACTACTGTGCTCAGTACAGCATGTCATATTTTTTCCACACCATTGATAAGGAATACCTGTGTTGGTTAGACCTATAAAGGTTTGCAGGACACAGCTCAGCAAGAGTTGAGCACCACCTTTAAGTTGTATGTTTTCTTCAGGAACCACCTTTATATAGCCATCTGTACATTTACAGTTGAAGATTTAAAGTCTAATCTTAATGTGTTGGGTATAACCTAGAACCTGAAAAACTCAGTGGAAGTAAAGGAGCACAAAATCAAACAATTTCTATATTAATGCACATGTAAGAGGTTTTGAGAATATTTCTCATACCTAAAATCCTAATTAACCAAGTTCTTTAGTAGGCTGATATAGTTTCTTAACCACAGAGCTGATATTAAGAAAGAACACCTCTCAATGACCTAGCTGCACACAATTACACATGTATCAACATGCCTTCTACAAGGACCATTGCTGTTACCTAGGTGAGAGGAGTGGACAAAGAACAACAGGGTAAGTTAACATATTTCTTTTCTCATTTTATTATAAACCTCTCTCAGAAAAAGGAAAGATTTTGCCTCTCCTGGCCTGCAGAATGATGCAATGGAATCACATACTCACTTCTTATGTGTGAGGTCCAAACCACTGTTGACTATTCCCTCTACCTTGGCATTTTTCTGTCCACAGATATTTCCATAACTGTCATATCCTGACAGCAGTCTTGCAGCTGCTCCTGTAGCTATTGAATAGCCACAAATAAAACCCTGTGGAAAAAAAAAAAAAGACTGTTTACTAATATTTTGTTTGTCATTAGGAAAAAGTCATCTAAATTCATTTGTTTCTCAGCACAGAGTCTTCAAAAATAACCCTTTCATATCAAGAAAGAAAAGACAAGGAAAATCCTCTGAGAACTAGTGTGCAATTGTGAATTTAAATAGAAGGCAAATCAAGAATTCAGATCTCTAACATTACGTATTACCTAAGCACAGCTAAGAATCTTGAGAGCTGTCATATCTTAATGAAGTGATGGATAAGTGATGAGTAAGGGCAGACAGCGAAGGACAGCTATGAGCAGAGAGACAATTGTCAAGGTTTCATACCCTGGGGTTTAAATGCAGTAAAGAAAAGAAATAAGGAAGAAGAGAATGGAGAAGGCCATATACAGAACAATATAGGAAATGCCCCATATTAGGTACATCTCACCATAAACTTTCAAAGATCTAGCAAAATCAGATTCAAAACAGTGATGAGATGATTAGGAGAATTCACCCTCAGAATACCATTAGCTGTCTAGCAATACCATTGACAGGGAGAAATAAATCGCAAGCTGCCTCCAATACCTTCAATGAACTGCTTTTACAGAGGAGCTGCAAGCTAAGATTTGAGAATGTGAAGCAGACTAAATGACTGAGACAAGTGTGTGGAGCAACAGATGGTAGCAACAGGGCTGTACAAGATGACGACAGCAAGGAACGATCAGCTTGGAACAGACAAAATGTGGGTGGTTTCAAAGGTTGAAAATTCAAGAGGATGACATTCGAGGGTGGAAGTATCCAAGATTAGATTACCACAGCAGAGACATTCCAAATAAGCTGGTTATTATCTTTTTCTTGCCAATGTTCTAATATAATTACAGACTTAACACTCGAAAGCAAGTGAAAGCAGAGGGAGCAAAAGGCACAAGTAATAATTAAAGATGATTTACAGCACTCACTTTCATTTTCTTGGATCCCTGTAAAGGACATGCTACTTTGCATTTTATGTACAGTAGTATTCATATTATCAATTTGTTCAAGAATTCTTTCCTTACACAGAGTGAAATCACACAATTCTCCTCCATTCTAATCTATTCCAAACAATACTACCACAGTCTCCTGACCCACGGTACTAACTGATCTCTCCAACAAAGTAATCTAGGACAGTAAGTAACATTGTACCTGACCAAGTTCGCTCTGCGTATTATATTGCTTAGACAAAAAAAATCTAGGAAACTAACTCACAGCAGACAAATTTATAATTATGGACTGCAGGTAGGTATAGACTGAATTACTAGAGAACATCAGCAAAAACGGCAGGAAAAACACAACCAGAAAGACTGCATTTTTTTATGAAACACTGTGCATTTCACAGCTAATATACGCAATCACTGTGAGAACATTTTTAGTAAAATTTAAGCAAAACATTAACATCTTGCATTGAAGGCATGGTGAGTGACAAACACTTCAATGAAATGAGAAAGGAAAACCACTCTATCAATGCAATAAGAATTCCAGAAAACAAAAGGAGGAGGAGAAGAAGAAAGCTGATAGCATATAAATCACAAATTCTTTAGACCTGCTTAGACCTGCAATTTGTAAAACTTCAGTATAAGACAGTGACAGACATTCTACATTTAGGAAAAACAGCATACATAGGTCAACATTAAACAGTACAAGACAAAAAGAAACTAGGACATTCTATGTCTAGTTTCACTACCCTGTAGGTCTTGGGAGCTTGTTTGTTTTTTAATATAAAATGCATTGCATTGTATGTTGAAAATCTAACCTTTCTTAAGATAACAAGGAAGGGGCTTCTCGGATGGAATGGGAAGCACTTTACCATTGGGAATAAGCTTGCTGGCAGGAGGTGCTTTTACTGAGCATCCAAATAGAAAATGGTCAGCAGTTTGATGCTTAAAATCTTTGTTTCTGACCCATAGGTCTATTGTTATTAACACAAATGTTTACCAGGCTCAAAGCTGTAATTTTCAGGACACCTGCAGTTCCATAAGAAGCAGAAGGCAACTGCTACCCTGTATCAATAGAAATCACTCCATAAATGAAACTAATGTTTCAGGGGAATAGGTGCTAGATCAAGCCGTGGTACAAACTACAAGTTCTGAATCCCTTTGAAAGGTCATTTATCTGTATACAGTGCTAAAATAAAACATTTTTCTGGTTCACAGATGGCAATCCCTACAGTAATACATCCTGTCCTTGACTAAGTTAATAAATACATGATTAAAAAAAACCTTTTTTCTAATGAATATAAACTCTCCAACATTCAAAGAATTCTGTGCATTTTACTCACCATTCCTATGCAGAATATGATAAATAGGAGTAGCCATGGCACATCTGTGCAGCTGTGATCTTCCAATGGTTTCCACTCTCGCTTGGAGCTCTTGGAAGAGGGGAGAGAGATAGGGTTAAACAGTGTTTATTCAATTTAGTGTCTTCTATCCATGGAAGAAAAAAAAACGCAGAAAATGGTTCTCCAGGGCATTAACATAGAGCAGGAGTTATCTTTAAACTCAGATCTACCTGAAAAAAAAATATCTAAAACATGTCACGAAAGACATTTCAAGAAGTGTACTGGAAGCTAGATTAACAAAAAATATTTATCCAGAAAGTATATAAACAGTAAAGGTTCATTTCACTAATTTCCCTAGTTTTAGCAGAAAAGAGAAGCTAAAGACACTGAATAAATAATAGCTGTTATTGCACTCTCCCATGGCTATCTTCTGGTAATCTGCTTTCCAAGAAGGATAAAAGCTTAAGCTTTGCAAAAGTTTGTAAGTTTTAAAATATTATTGGCAATATTAGAAAGAGTAGTGCATAAAGAAAGGATGAAATCAGCTGCTGTTAATAGTTCTCTGTCTGCCAAGAGGCAGTTGAGTTCAACACTTTCGCAGAGAAATCCTGAATGAGTATTGCTCACGACCCAGAAAGAAAAGTTTTGTAATTACAAATTTAAAGCACTGAGAGAGGGAGGCTCTACTGCTAAGTATAAACAGGTTGCTATAAGCAATTCAAATAGTCTACTGCTTATGACATAAAACTTCTTATGTCTGTTTACACTGATAAACAAAGTCTATTAGAAATGATCATTTTGCCATCTAGAAAAGGCTTTAAGGCAAGAATGAACACTAGCCACTGTACTAAATAAATGGTAATTGTAACGAAATTCTTAACTAGGGCTACTTACATTTCATTAACAAAAAAACTTTTAATTAGTTTTCAGATGCTTACACTATTCACATTATTCTACAAGGATCCTGAATATGTACATTGCTTTTGTACTTGGAAAGGAAAAGGAGACTGGTGTGGTGAGGATACAGAACATCTCTCCAAGACAAAACCAGTAAGGATAACCTAGCAATTTTTACATATTTTCTCCATTCAGGACTCTGAAGCATCTAGAAGACTTAGTTGATAAGACAACTAATCAACATCTTTTATTTTAATTCAGTACTGACATTTCATCCAACCATTTATAGCCACCTCTAGCACCTACTTTTGTAATTTAAAAAAATATATAATATACTATAGTAAATAACTTTTGTGAAGTCACTGAGTTGCTTTTGGGTATCCATGATTTTGCTCTTAGCTAAGTCACAATCAGAAAGCAATTTTTATGTTCAATGCCACTAGAAATCTACAAGCTAAATAGAATACAAATGAAATCCTGCATGTACCTCATCTCATGAATTAAAACCAACAAAAACTGCAGTTGTAGCCTGATGTTTCACTGCTTTGGTAATTTCTTAATATTTTTTAAGGTTTTCCTGTATTAGTCTAAGCTGCACGTACAAGTCCTCTAATCTGTGACGGATGAGAGAGAAAAACAAAAGCTCTCTGGGAATCAACCTTTTCTGACATGTGTTGGCTGTCTGACCCTGCTCAGCTGGAGTCTGAGCTGAGACAAAACAACTAGACAATATGCAGGAGAAAGCTATCACAGCTCAAAGTTAAAAAACAAAAACCAAGCAAAACCAACCAAACAAACAGCATCTGAAAAGATACACAGCAAAAATAATATTTGGGTACATACTGAACTTGTTATGTAGAGGATACGCACCACAAGTCATGTTTACATGCAAGAATTAGGAGGAACAGAGAGTGTTCTGAAGTTAAGGTGCGAATAGCACTACTTGAGTTTGACAGGTTGTTTTGCTTGCAGCTATGACAATATCACATCAAAAAGCACAGTTTTCTAAGCAGTAGGACTTTGAATTAGGGACCTCCATGCCTTGTTTGTTGTTTTATATTAAGAAGGTCCCAGCTAATACTTTAAATTCCAGTTGCACAAATTCACTTTGGGCTCTGAAGAATCAAGCTTCTTTTTCTTTCACTCATTAATCACTGTGGAGAGGTGTTAAAAGGTCACATTATGCACTCTACTATGCTCATTCAATAAAACTGTCTTCTGATCCTGGCAAGTTCACACTTAGAACTAACACACTGTTCAAACTTAACATTTACAGCAAGATTGTGACATTTATATTCTTATAATTAGCATAATCAGAACTACACAAAATGCGTAAAGCTTCATACTCAGTATTCCTAAATTCACTGCAAGAACCCTGGATTCACTGGAGATTTACTTTTATTTACAAACAGCACAGAGACAAATTTTAGCATCTTTAGCATCTGCCCTTGAGAGAAGAGGCGGCAATAAGACGCATGAGGTGTTTTTTCTTTATCCTCTCAGTACCATCCGCAAATAAAATCTTTTAATAGGATTTTTAAAAGCCACTGGACATCCTCTGGAACAGTTCTGACAAGGATTTAGGATGTCTGACTAGTCACAGTTTCTGTAATAATCCACTTCGTGTAGGAAGTGGGCTGCAATTCAGATTCCAGAAAGAAACTTGAAAAGGCAAGGTACAGCAGGTAGTTTGAAGGTTACAAATGAAGGAATTCAATCTGTGCTCATAGTCTTTATTTGGCTCCGAAAAATAGGTTCTTACTTCCAGAAAAAACAAAAACATTAATGAAGATATTGTAAACAATGAGTACCTTTTGAGGCAACTCAAAAGTGGTTTCACAGGATATACAACCAGCCCATACCTTAACCACCCAGCAAAACCACAAGACATAGTGATATATCTTTATAACTTCCCTTCAGGTCTTGCTACAACCTAAGCTGGTTGCCAGTAACTATTTGGTGTTTTCTTCTGAATTGTTTTCTTACACCCTTGATTCCCACTGAAGCTCCTCCATGGTTTTCACTCCCTTTGGCCCTCACAGGATCTGAGATGCTGATGTCTGCCTCTCTCCAGTTGCTTAGTGTTACTCCAGGCCCACTCTGCACACCGAGATCCTTACTCAGACCTTAACATTAATGCTTGAGCAACACAAATTGCTATTCTGTGTTCAATATAATGTCTAAAAATGTTGGTTTGCCATCTGGAAACTATGCTTTATTTCCACTGTAAATTCAAGAACTATCAAAATTTTAGCTGACATATTTTGCATACAATCTTTATTTGGCAGATTTTTATCTATATACTTCTTTCATCAGCAAATATTGAAGGAGTCTTAATTTGGCTAGATGAAAGGCCAAAATCAGTAAGAAAGGAAAATAAGTGCTTTTTTTTTTTCTTTTTAATTTTTAGATTCAGTGTAAGTTTTCTCTTAAAAGAGAGCATTTGTGGTGTATTTCAAGCTACTTGTTGATAGAGTTGCCACTAACCAAGTTCAGTATCTTCCTGTTCACAGTCAGGGCAGTACAGAGGATCAGGAGCTTTATCAGCCAAGGCAGAGGGTAGGCAACAAAATACTCTCCAAGACAAAACTTCTTGATCCTATATTGTCCTTGCTTGTCCAGAACAGCAAAAGAGTTCCGTAACAGCTACGAGGTGCTGATTTTAACAGCTAAGAATAATTTACTCAATAATCTAAATGAATGTGTTCAGAAACACATAGCACATGTTCTGTTTGCCACCTATTAACCCATTTTCAGGATCTGCAGACTCAGAGCTTCTTGAAGACAAGTCTGAATTGCTAGGTGCTACATAATCTTACAGCTACACCTTAGTCCCATATCTACGAAGGTTAGTATCTAAACTTAACTTTTACAATTGAAATCTAAGGTGTGAGACACCTTAGAGGGAGGACAGAGGTTCTTAAAGAAAGCTATTTTTGCCAAAAAGTGAAGAATGCCAGTATAGTGACTAACTACTGTCTTTTAATTCAGATCTACATGGTCACCAAGTAAGAGTTCCTAAATGCAAATGTAAAATAAAAAGGCACCCTATTCTTACTATTCATTGCATCCAATCACCTAATCTAATAAAATTCATAGATTTTTGTCTCTTTCTCCTTCCAGAAAATATCTTTGCAGCATCATGCAGTAAGTCTGAATTTGCATCTCTCCCATATGCTTTAAAACACAATGTTTTTCATAACTGCTTTAAACGGTTATCTGCATAGCATAAAACCATGCGTACTTTAATTATTGCTAGAGTACAGAAGACAAACATACATGCACTCCATTGACACATGGAAATATACATACATGGAAATATCATTTTGATATTTCCTCTTTAAAAGCAATCAATTCTTTTATTTGTAATAGCTTCCTTTTTCTTTCAACCTGATTCTAACACAGCATGTTGCAAAATACCCAGTTACACATTTGCAGGCACTGAGAATGAGCAATCACATTTTATACACCTAGAAATGACCACTTTTTTCCTCAATGTTGAATACACAAAAGATATTTTGACTCATATATTTACAAAGACACAAGACCAGACTTCAAAGATTTTTTCTTTTCTAGAAACTAGCATAATAAAGTACTCAAGCAGGTGGTCCATTCCCCCTGCAGAAGCTGATTCCATGCTTTAATAAAACAGCTTTTTAGACCACTAATAATTTCACTCCTCTTTTGAATGGTTTGGTAGACGATCCAGAGTTAGATTATGGTCAGGCATGTATCTGGTGTATGGGAACTTTATCACCTGTTTTCATCATGTTTTTATTTCAAATTCAGCAACTGTTCCATCTTTTCTTAAGTACTGCATACTCCCACGCTAGCTGGCCCTCATCAGCACATTGTGCATGCCCTTATATTCCCCTCTATATTAAGAACACCTTCAAACCTTCAAGTATCTTAATCGCCACAGAAAATCCAAGGACCTTTCCTAAAAACATTATGATGTCAAATTAGAAAATTAAAAAAAGGTTAATATTCATCTTCCTTCCACAGGACCCTTCCTTTCCTCCTGTTACAATGTCTATTACAAATATCGGGGCTACATGAATAGCTGCATTCTGGCTTGCCCAGCAAAATCTTTAGCATAACTTTTCTGTATAACCTCTATACATACCTTCACATTAGAAGTCATCTTGAATTTCCTAGACGGCAAAGATTTGTTTCAGGTATTCTAAAC